TTAAAAACTATATTTTTGTACATTTTATATTAACTTTCCTTTTGAGTTACATTATGAACACAGAACATTCCTCAGACTCTTCTTGTTTCCACAGTAATTATTTCCTCTTCCTCCTCCTTGTTTGTTGCTCAAATTACTGCCACTCGTTAACTTTCCTTTTGAGTTACATTATGAACACAGGACATTCCTCAGACTCTTCTTGTTTTCCATAGTAATTATTTCCTCTTCCTCCTCCTTGTTTTGTTGCTCAAATTACTGCCACTCAGCTGGGGAGAGTTCTCCTACCTTAACTACTTTGCCCAAATGCAGGGTTCCTGACTATGGAGTCATTCTTGCTGCACATCAACACCACAGTGTCCCAGACCCATCCTCGTTTCTGTCCTGTCCCAGGGTGGGACACTGGCGTGTCTCCAAGCAGCTCTGCTTCATTTTAGTGGAGAACTACATTGAAGAATAACTATCTGGAATACTCATTAGTCAACAGAGCCAAATCTCAACAGTACAACGATTGAAATTTCTTTTGAGAGCCAAATTTTTTAAACTTAATCTATATAGGCATGTACATTGTTATTAACTTAATTAGGGTACTCCTAAGCCTTAGGAAGAGCCACACTCAAGGGGCCAAAGAGCCGCATGTGGCTTGCGAGCAACAGTTTGCTGACCACTGATCTAGTCTAATACCAGTAATTTTTATACTGTGACTTTTCACCCCATGCCTTAAACCATAATTTTGCCGGTGGTGGTGTTTCAGGTCTCTTTGAAAAGTTTTGGTAAACAAATTTGATAAGTTCCTTTATTCTGTCTTATTAATAAAGCAGCTACTTTCTTTTAAGGGCCCAATTGCAGTCGCTGGAGCCAGACTGACTAAGTTCAAATCTCAACTCTGCCACTTACTACTTATGTGATCTTGAGCACATTAACTTTGCTCTGTGCCTTGGTTTGCTCATCTATAAATAGAAGTCCTCTGTTGGTATGGCATCCTCTCCACAGAGTTGTTACAGAGATTAAATTAGTTAATACTAAGTGATTAGAAAAGTATATGTGTTTATTACTTCTTCTGTTGTCTAGGTGTCATTGATATATATTTCTTCCTCCTCCTTTTCCTGTCTTCTTCCCCCTTCTTCTCTTAAATAGAGAAATATGGATAATTTTGGTCCCTGAATTCATCGTTTGTACTTACTGATGCTTATGCAATTCCCACCCCAACCAGATCCCCCAAAATTTGTCTAGCCTAGCCCCACTAGACTACATTTTCATCAACTGATTCAAATCTTCCTGATACAAAATTATGCCCATTCTTTTTCCAAACAAATTTTTATGTGCTTACCTCTTGAAGAAGAAATGTCCCGTTTCCTGTTTTTGATATAGAAGATACTCTCAAAATAAAATCCCAAGCATACATATTCATTAGGTTGGTAAGCTTTCTGAAATTCTGCATAAATCCCATTTTATATATTTTTTTCTGCTGGAAGTCCTACATGTACAGCTACATTGAAAAGTCAGAGGGAAGGATTCAAATGTCTTGGTTTGGTCCATCCTGCATTTAATGTGTACTGTGTGGTCCATAAACCTCTCCACGTGTCTGTTGTGCATTCCTGGGACTCATTAATTTCCCCATGTACCAGTGGGGCAGCAGCCCCAGGCATCAGGGCTCCACGCACGCCCTTTATTGGACACACATTCTTGTTTAGTGTGTGTGCTACAGCGTCGCTGCTTGTTTCCCGGGCCTGAGGGAGTCGGGGGAGGTGGTGTCTGCCCCGCATTTGTCACATAACTTCCAAAAGACTGTCAAAAGGGGCCATACCAGGCCCTTCCTTCCTGGAAGACACCCAGCCTCCAGAGCCACTGCATGGTATGCATTTCACATCTAAACGCAAGGTGGTGGTATGTGAAAGCAGGAAAACCCTGGAACTTGATCCTGGATCCTAGAAGCAACCTCTTAAGCGCACAGGCCAGGCGGCCGTCGGAGCTGCTCTTGTAGGTGCAGTTTAGTCGCATTCTGCAAGACTGGGAGCAGCAGGCAGCCTGTGTTTTCCTGTGTCGGGTCCTGTCCATTTTATTTTTAAGTAGTTCTTAAATCTGCCCCTCCCTCTACAGCTTCCCTTGTATACCCAGGTTCAGGCTCTCAACATCTTTTCTTTTTCCCTCGTCAACCTTATTATATATTAATTTATGTAAATAAACGGCATCTATTTAAAGTGCATAATGATGGATGTTAACTAGACTTACTGTGGGGATCATTTAGCAATATATACAAAGATCGAATCATTATGCTGTATATCTGGAACTAATATGTTATATGTCATTATACTTTACTACAAAAATGAAGTGTATAATGCGATGGGTTTTGACAGTCATGTATACCTGTGAAACCACCACCGCAATCAAGAAAGAGAACATTCCCATCACTCCCCAGCCAGCTACTCTGTTTCCCTTGTCAATCTTTCTTGCTAGGCACTTTTTTTTTTTCCCCAAGGAGGGGACACTTTTGTCACTCTGACCTGTTTGCATTTTGTGTAAGTGGAATCATATGGCCTGGCCTCTTTTGTGCCTGGCTTCTTTCACTCGGCATAATGATTTCAGATGTATGGCAGGGCGGCAGGCCATTGTATGAATATAGCACAATGTATGTATCCATTCACTTGTTGATAAACATTTGAGTTGTTTCCAGTTGGGGCTATTTTGAAGAAAGCTGCTATGAACATTACTGTACAAATCATTATGTGGACATGTTTTTTTCCTCCTGTGTAAATTCCTAGGTCAGATAACTGCATTGTAGATGTAGGTTTAACTTTTAAAGAAACTGTCAAACAGGTTGGGAAAGGGGTTGTAATATTTTCTATTCCCACCAGCAGTTGGAGGGCTCCAGTTTCTGCACATCCTCAGTCTGACTGAGTGTTGTCAGTCTTTTTAATCTGGCCATTTTAGAGGTTATGTGGTGGTATCCTGTGATTTTTATTTACATTTTGTGGTCATTAGGGATGTTGAGCATCTTTTAAAATGCTTATTGGCCATTTATATATCTATTTTTTAAGGTGTCTGTTCAAACCTTTTGCCCATTATTTTATTGAGCCTTTAGTTTTCTTTATTATTGTGTTAGGTGTACTTACTTTGTATACTCTGGATACCAGCTCTTTGTCAGATAAATGTATTGTGAACATTTTCTCTCATTTCATTTGCTTTGTCACTTTCTGGATATATTTTGAAGGTATTTTTGTTTAGGTTTTTATTTTTTATAAAGTTCGATTTATCTTTTTTTCTTTTATGGCTTATGCTTTTTGCTTCCTATGAAATCTTTGTCTACTACAAGGTTGCAGAAATTTTCTCCTATGATTGCCTCTAAAAATGTCATAGTTTTTGCTTTTTAATTTAGACCTGTGATCCTTTTGGAGTTCATGTTAGTGTTTTGTATGGAGTATAAGGATTGGTGATTTTCCCCCCACCTAGATACTCACCTGTTTCCTTTCAGTATCTCTTTAATTCTTGATACTGATCATCTGTGCCACCCGCCTTCCCTGTCCTCCTGTTCTTTGATCAGTCTAGCTATTGGGTTACCAACTTTGTTGATTTTTTTTTAAAAAATTAAAATGGCTTTTAGTTTTATTGATTTCCTTTATTATCTGTTTCCTATTTTATTGAGTTTTGCTCTGATATTCATTATTCCCTCCCTTCTAATTATTTTGGTATTACTTTGCTCTTCATTTTCTAGCTTCTTGAGGTGGACCTTACGTCATTGGTTATAGACCTCTCTTCTTTTTTAATATAAATCTTTAAAGCTATAAATGTCCCTCTAAGAAAGCTCTGCTTCAGCTACCATCCCACAAGCTTCGATACGATGTATTTTCATTATCATCCAGTTCAAAATATGTTCTAATTTTCTTTGAGAGTCTTCTGTGACTTATGCATTATTTAGAAGTGTGTTATTTAACTTCCAAATAGTTGAGGGGTGTGTGGTTGGTTTTTCTTTTTTGTTTGTTTGTTTGTTTTTAGATACCTTATAGTTTTTGATTTCTAATTTAATCATTATGGTCTGAGAACATGCTTTGTATGGTTTTAATTCTTTTAAATTTATTGAGACTTGTTTTATGACTCAACATATGGTTTCTCTCGGTTAAATATTGTGAAAAGAGTGTATCCTGCTGTTTTTGTGTGTGTTCTATAAATAACAATTAGATTTAGGTGGTTAATAATATTGCTTAGATTATTTATATTTTCCTGTTTTTTTTGACATAATTGTCCTATCAATTGCTGAGAGGGGTTCTGAAATGTATAACCATGGTTTTAGGCCATCCATTTCTTTTTTTTTTTTAATCTGTTATTTTTGACGGCATGTATTTTGAAGCTCTGTCAATAGGTACATACACATTTTTTATTGTTATGTCTTGGTGATGAATTAACCTGTTCATTATTATGAAATGTTGTCACTACCTTTATTCATACTCTTTGTCTTGAAGTCTATTTTATCTGATATCAATATAGCCAGTCCTGCCCTCTCGTGTTTAGCATTTTCATGGTATATATTTTTCATCCACTTATTTTCAACTGAACTGTATCTCTATATTTAAAGTGCATCTCTTATAGACAATGTGAAGTTGGATCTTCCTTTTTTATACATTCTAATAGTCTCTGACTTTTCCTTGGAGTATATAGTCCATTGATATTTAATTATTCTGATATTGTTGGATTTAGGTCCACCATTTTATTATTTGTTTTTTGTTCCCTTTGTTTCTGTTTGTTTTTCTTCCCATTTCCTTTCAGTGGTTTCAGTAGTTTTTAGAATTCCATTTCAATTTATTAACTGGAATGTTGCCGTGTGTCTTTTCTCTAATAGTGATTGCTCTAGGTATTAAAATATACATCATTAAGTGTTCCCAGTCCACTTAGAGGTAATATTGTACCACTTCCTGTGAAACGTAGAAATTTTGCAATGATATAGGCCCATTTACCCCTCCCCCTGCTGTTACAATTATTACATGTATTAAATCTATATACATTATAAACCCACAATATATTGTTGTAATTTTTGCATTAAAAATCATATGTATTTTAAAGAGATTAAGAGAAAATACAATGCAACCATTAAAATGTTTATAATAGGAGAGAGAGAGAATGTTGATGTGCCCCTGGCAGGGAGCCAGCAGGGGTCTCCCATACTGAGTGTCAGGGGATAGATTTGGAGTCTGCAGGTCTGTCATGGCTTGTGAGCTGCTAGGGAATCTGGATTGAATTCCCTTCCTTTACACCACTTCCCATTATTAGAAAGAATTCATGGTTCTTTACACCCTCCAGGAGTTTGTATCCCAGCACCCATTCAGAGCGGGCGCTACTAAGCTGTAGCCCACAGTCTTCCTTTCCAACAAATGAGCCTCTGTTTCCATGCAACTTGGAGACGTTTATGTGCCATCTAGTACCTGGGGACGGAGCTCAGCTTCTGCTCGAACTTAAGGAGAAGACAAATGCTGAAACATTTTTTCCTAGTTATGCAAATAATATGTAAAGGCATTTACACATTTTTTATTCAATAAAGAAGTATTGTGCACATCCTACATGCCATGCTCTGAGGATCTAACCAGTAAGATAGATATGCCCATTGCCGCGTGAAAATTTAGCCCAGCATTATAGAAAAATAAGTAGAACTTTTAAGTACACATCTAAAAATTTCACTATACAGAGATAACCACTGTTAACCCCTTTCTGAATTTTTTGTGTAAGTTTTTGCCCATTATTCTTTAGGCACCATCATTTCATCTGTTTTCATGTCATCTGTTTTCATTCCAATATCCTCAACTTTTTTTGCTCCTTTGTCCTTCATTTTCCCCATGGGGCAAATTTCCAATTCCTGAGCATGTGATCATCAACCTACGTAATGTTTGACCCTGCATTGAAAAAAAAAATCATTAGAATGCTAATTTTAATCCCAAAGAGCTTGTTCTATTTTATATGTTTGAGATTCTGAATTTTCCACACCTATGAAATACTAATTATTAAGTTATAGAGGTATTTCCCATTAAATTAAATTAATAGAGTTACTCATTTTATAGTTTAATAAGGGAGTATTAAAAGCTGAACTTACCTTATTTATAATTGTAAAAATGCACTAAATATCTAAATTCCCATCAATAAGTTAAATAAATAATGTACATCTATACAATGGAATGCTATGAATGCATTAAAAGAGTTTGTTGATATAAAAAGAAAACTAATAAATGTGGAAAGGTATTCACAACAAATTGTTAAGTGAAAAACAGATTTAATATGTAGATCAGGATATTTTGTTTGTTTCCATTTATGTAAAATTGGATACATATGTATGTGCATGCACGGAAAGCTACCTGTAAGAATCCAATCTATGTATTTCTTCAATTCCTACTGTATAAGAGGTGCTTGATTAATACATTGTGATGGATATCCATGTCATGGGGGAAAATCTGATAATACATGTAAATTATATCATGTATTTTTGTGGGGGAACATATTTGTTTTACTAAAAATACTTTTTTCTCCCACATCTCTAGAATAATGAATTACAAAGCAAGTTGGATTACTTAATAGAAACCCAGCCCAAGACTGAAGTGGAAACCAGAGAAGTTGGAGTGGGCTGTGATCTTGTACCCAGGTATTTAGGAATTTCCTGTTTTTCTGACTCAAATTCTTCTTTGACTTAAGAAAATACTTTCCTGAGCTGTTATGATGAGAATTGCATTCTTTCTATCAAAAATATTTCTTCAAAGATAAGTGGTGACTGCTGAAGCATCTGAGTGGTTTCTGTGGGAGTTGTGGGGGGAGGGGGGCATTGTTCAGTGGGGAGGGGAGGTGAAGGAGAGATCTGGGAAGCCACTTCAGGGAGAGATTGA